CACCCTGAACCCTAAACCCCCTAAACCCTAAAACCCTCAACCCTAAACCCTCAAACCCTAAACCCTAACACCCTGAACCCTAAACCCCCTAAACCCTAAAACCCTAAACCCTAAAACCCAAATCCCGCAGCTTTGAGTCCCTCTTTCTTTACACCTGCTGTGGATTTCAGGTCGGGAGGGCAGGTCTGCAATCTCAAGCTCGCGGCGCGAGGTGGCCTGGATGCAGACGTCCTCGAAGGCGCGGAGGAGGACGGGATTCTCGGAAAAGAACTTGCTAATTTAAGTTGCAATCTTGAGGAAAGCCTACTATGTACGATAGGTCCCTTTTAACTATGGTAACTTAGCCCTAAACCCTAAACTCTTTAAGAAGAGCTGAGAGGAGGAGGAGCTGATGCCTGGAGCCGTGGGGCTCCATGCCTGGGCGCAGAGCTTCGGAGTCATCTGCATTGGGCCCGCGGCACAAGGAGATAGGGTTTAGGGTTTGGGGTTTTAGGGTTTAGGGTTTAGGGTTTTAGGGTTTTAGTGTTTAGGGTTTAGGGTTTAGGGTTTTAGGGTTTAGTGCACAAGGAGAAATCCTGGTGGAGTGCGTCTCCCTTTCTTCATGTGAGGGCCGCCTGAAGCTGGCGGAGAAGCTGGCCGTCCTGACTCCGGGTTCTTGTTCAGGAGTTTCTTTTAAGTTACCATCGTAAGTATGCCACTTATCTACTAGAGATCACTGGTATGGTAGCTTAAACTAAGTTCCCTAAACCCTAAACCCTGAACCCTCAACCCTAAAACCCTAAACCCTAAACCCTAATTCCTAAACCCTAAACCCCTTAAACTCCAAACCCGAAAACCCTGAACCCTGGAACTCCAAACCCGAAGCCGTGCACCCAGGACTTCGGAAGATGGAGCTGCTCGCGAGGTCCCTTGCTGTGCCTCCTCGCCCCGGAGTTTGGTGTACCTTGCGGCCAAGGCCCGTTGGCCAGGGTTTCGGGTTTAGTTCAGGGTTTAGGGTCTACCTATAGTCTCCATTGTAGTTCCTTTTTTTGGTTTAACCAATGATAAACTAAGGAGTTTATAAGGTATCCCCAAAAAGGAACTACAATGATAATACTACAGGTGAGAAAGTTGCAGGCTTCATAGAGCCTCCCCTACTAAACCTTAAACCCTAAACCCTCAACCCTAAACTCCAAACCCTAAACCTAAACCCTACACCCCACATGCCCTAAACCCTCAACCCTAAACCCTAAACCCTAAACCCTCAAAACTTGAACCCCAAACCCTAAACCCTTAACCCTAAACCCCCCAAACCCTCAACCCTGAACCCCAAACCCTAAACCCTAAACCCTAAACCCTACACCTGAAACCCCTAAACCTCTAACCCTCAACCCCAAACCCCAAACCCCAAACCCTAAACCCTCAACCCTCAACCCTAAACTTGCAGCCCCAAGCCCTAAAGCCTAAACCTAAACCCTACACCCTACACCCTTCCCTAA